GCAAGTACCGAGCCTATTTCACTAATCACTCTCGTGGCACGGGCGACAGGATCCAGTTGCTGCGTCACGAGGACATTAAGTGGTCCCTCTCGCCTGCAAGCAACTGGTTGCCTGCAGCAACTGGTTGCAGCGGAGACGCGCAACGCGTTCCCGAGCGAGTCCTTTGAGTGCAACCGAGTCGCACGCAACCGATCGGCCAGCGTGACGGAGACGCGTGGCCGGGACTGTGGCGCTTTGATGATCTGGAGGAGGAGGGGGGGGATGGAGGGGGTTGAGAGCCGGGGGTAATTCCCCTCCTGAGATCGCCTCACACCGCTCGTTAATTATCGCGAGCCTCTTCAGCCGCACCTGCGCCAGTCGCAGTTACCTCGCGTAAACAAAACAACTCTGCCACGTGAAGTGCTCATGGGGAAATGGGCCATTGCTCGAAACGTCGCCCATTACATGTATATTGCTGACCCGCCCATACTGGACGTCTGTGAAAAAAAGAGCTTTACAGCTCATCGGATTCCTCCTGCAGTCTAAATAAACAAACTCTGAGTCTGAGGTGTATGTTCCCCCTGCATAGAGCAGCGTTAGTGGTGGCTCTGTTGAGTCTCGGTTGTTTCTGCTCGTGCACCACTGCCAATGCAGCGTCACCAGATAAGCTGTCATGTTCACTAACGACAGCTCTTGCGGTGATCAGAAGGCGTTTACTGTCCAACCTCAAACCGCACCTCTGATTAGCAGGGTCGGCTACGTACGGTGCGAAAGAAGTTCAGCGGCAGCGATGCGCCACCGCCGAGTTGGGAGGCCGGGCACGGAGCGGAGCAGCCGTGGGCGTAGTGGTGCTGGTGGTGGTGCTGGTGGTGCTGGTGGTGGGTGGGGAGCGGACCTCTTGCGGCAGTGGGGAGTCCTCGGCTCGCAACGACAACCACAACAATAACGGCAACTGCATCACGCAAGTCGCCACCACGAGACGTTTGCAAGTGGTTTAACACAGCATGTCAGCAGGGTGAGGCTGTGAGTGATGCAACTGGAAACACGCCAAGTTGATTCCTTATAGAACTGATCGTCAAGAGGCCAGTGTTCATCATGGCCAAGCCCTGGCGGGCCACTGGCGACCCCTAGTGGCCTTTAGTGGGGCCCCTGACGTGCGGCCCGCGAAAACACACCACGTGTGACAACACCCCCCATTGTCATCGTGTTACTGCCAAACCCAACACTAGTTTAAAATGTGGCGGCCCTCACACTATTGATGATGTCATATCGGCGAAAGTGGCCCCCCATTCAAAATTAGTGAAGGACACTGATCCAATTGATAATCAATAGTGAAGGACACTGATCCAATTGATAATCAATAGATGATTTTCCGGAATCGATCATCTTGGCTTGATCTTCGAGCATTGGTCATCGACTGAGATCACCCACCATCGTCTCTCCCGAAGCTCTTACTAGCGCGCTCATTTCAAGAAATGCGTTGACTCTCATCCACTAACACAACCAACATTGCCTGCATGGCCTGATGATGCTGGTTGCAATCACCAGTGAAACGTCGTGCTCAATAGTCGAGGGTGTGGGTTTACCCTCTGACACAACCATCCAGCGGTGCCGTGTACGTGACAAGCCTTACTATTGGCTGTGTCGGGAGGAGGTGGGTGTACTACACATTTACAATTACGCGATCTAAACCAAACAGCATTATCATGAATAACATTGGCCGTGACCCCTCCGTGTTAAATTCACACAACGCCATTGGCCGTGACCCCTCCGTGTTAAATTCACACAACGCAATTGGCCGTGACCCCTCCGTGTTAAATTCACACAACGCCATTGGCTGTGACCCCTCGGTGTTAAATTCACACAACGCCATTGGCCGTGACCCCTCCGTGTTAAATTCACACAACGCCATTGGCCGTTCAAAGTTCAAAGTTCAAAGTTCATTTATTAGGTATAGCCCTGTGAGCCATTCAGCTCTTGAATCGGGTGCAACCGCAACAAACAAAAAACAAAAACATGAACAAAAAAACATCTTAAAGTGAATATGTGACTAAGTGCAAACAGAAAATCCAAGAAAAGACAGCAAAAATATTGCAGAAAAAACACCGTACACCAACGCTGTGTGCAAAAATCCCAGTGGGATGCAAGTCAAACAACAACAACAACCACAAGACAACTTAGATTAAGGCCATCAGTCTAACTCTGTACTACAACAACACAAACATGGCTAAACCAATACACTTTTCGAAATCACCAAAATAAAGCCATGAAGGCAATGAAAAAGCAATCATAGGAACTGACGGAATTTTCACAATAAATGGCATAAACAACATGTACTACCAAAACCCTGCAGCCATAGCTGGCTGCATGAGTCACTCCACAACAGCAGGAGCATCAATCGGAGTATTGTAATTTTTCAATGCACCTTTAAGATCAGCACACTAAATCAAAACACAGGTCATACTTTGTAGCGATCATCCGGAGCGAAACATTTTATTTTAGGTCACTGAATAGCACTGGCAGCTAGGGGTGTACAACTCCTCTAAAGCAGTTTTGAGTGAAGATCTCATAGGTAGTGACTCAAGTTTCAATTTATTTGCAACAGCATTCCAGACCCTGGGGGCATCAATAGCAAAGGCCCTTCCTCCAGTATATGTACGGCAATAGGGAATATTAAGCTGGTAAATGAGTGTAGACCTTAGGTCAAATTTGTTCTTTGAAACAGAGACGAGATCCAGCAGGTAATCTGCAGATTTTTTTGCAAGTACATCATGAATAAATAAGATCTGGTGCACAAGCCGTCGAACATTCAGAGATGTTAAGTTTGACCCAATGTAGAGATCACAGTGGTGAGTCCTATATGGGCAGTTCAATGCAAATCTTAAGGCCGAGTGATACATTGAGTCAAGCTTCTTCAGTACAGTACTTGGGGCTGATTTATACACAATGTCACAGTAATCAAGTAGAGGCAGTACGGTAGCTTTAATCAATTCCAAACGGAACATAGGAGGGAAGCAGTGCTTGTGTCGATATAGAAAACCAATTTTAATTTTTGTCTTTTTCCCAATATAATCAATGTGATCTTCAAAATTCAGTTTTGAATCCAGGATGACCCCAAGATACTTATAGATCTTGACTTGCTCTATTTGATCATTATTTAAGGTATGTAATTGGGGAAAAATAACTTCCCGCTTTAGTCCTGGTGAGAAGCATAGCACCTTGGTTTTGGCAGGATTTAGGACTAGTTTAAGAGCAACTAGCTGATGTTGTAGTTTGTTGAAATCACTCTGGAGCTTAGCAATCACGTCATCCGGAGAGCGGCCAGCAGTAATTAGTACCGTGTCATCTGCAAAAAGATTTACCCTGGAATAATCCAGTTCAGTGCCCAAGTCATTTACATAAAGAGAAAACAAGAGGGGGCCGAGAATGGAACCCTGTGGAACCCCTTTTGTTATCTTAACACTGTTTGACCTCCAACCATCTGTGAATACAGTTTGGGTGCGAGAAAAGAGGTAATTTTTTAACCATTTTACTGTGTTTTCGGAAAAACCGAGGCAACTTATTTTACTAAGCAGGATGTTGTGGTCTACTGTATCAAAAGCTTTGGACAAGTCAAGAAAAAGACAGGCGCAGTACTGCTTATTATCAAGGCTACTGTAAATGTGATTCAGAGAGTCTAATGCAGCAGATGTGGTGCTGTATTTTTTTCGGAACCCAGATTGTTTTAGATGTAATAGATTGTTGGCGGACAGGAAACTGCTAATTTGGTAGGTCAATAATTTTTCAAATATTTTCATCAACGGGGACAAAATTGAGATAGGTCGGTAGTTATTTGGATCATCTTTAGGGCCCCCTTTGTGAAGTGGACGAACATAGGAATGTTTCCATTCTAGAGGAACTGATGCTTCTTTGATGGACAGGTTGAAAATATGGGCTATAGGTTTGTATATTAGGTGACCAACAGTTAGTAGAGCAAAGACGGGAATACTATCTGCTCCGGTAGAGGAGGACCCTTTGAGGTAGGACAGTTGTTTCAGAACATTACTTTCGTGGATTGGCTGAAAACTAAATTCGCTTAATGTTTGGACAGGAGTGTAGGAATTTGCATGAGCAGGGGTGACTCCCAATACATTATCAAATAGGGTACCAGCTTCAGAAAAATGAAGGTTAAAATTGTCAACTATTTTTTGGGGATCTGAAAAATATTCCCCATTTCGGTTAAGCTGAACGGGCAGATGATCTGTTTTGGATGCCTTTTCGATACATTTGATTGTTTTCCAGAAAATCCTGGCATTTCCATGAGATTCAAGGAGAGTGGAAGAGAAGTAGTTATTTTTTGCATGCCGTATTTTTTTGACGCATCTATTCCTTAAAATCCTGTATTCTAGCCAGTCATTGACCAAATTACTTTTCTGAGCACATGCCCAAGCCTTGTCCCTAATTTTCATGAGCTTTGTAATCACAGGATCAAACCATGGTGGACGGTTGCCTTTAGTTTTAAATTTAACCAACGGAGCATGTTTGTTAAGAATTTGGAGAAACGTGTACCTGAAGGTCTCCCAAGCCGTAGTCAGGTTTGGAATATCACAGACCTTGTCAATATCCGAGTGAAGCACATCATTAGTAAATGCCGTGACCCCTCCGTGTTAAATTCACACAACGCCATTGGCCGTGACCCCTCCGTGTTGGGCTGTAGGCGCCCCCGTGTGGTCACGAGCGCACACTGCATCGCCAGGAGCTGCAGATGTTGTCGTAGAATCGCCAAATTGCCGCGGACCCTTGCGCGATTTGTGCGTCGCGCTTGCTGGGATTATCCGAATCTAAATATTTATTTTATACTTGGAGGAATACGGTGCTGTACCAGTCGTAAATCTTGTCAAATAATCGCGGACCCCTGTCTGTATCCTTTGAGCCGTGAATGTTTTGTCAAATAACCGCGGACCCTTGTTGTGTCTTTGAAGTCGTAAATGATTTGTCAAATTACCGCGGACCCCTGTCTGTGCCTGTGAAGTCGTAATTTTTTTTGTCAAATTACCGCGGACCCTCAGTCAGCCTGTGACCGCGTGTGGCCGTGGTGGTGGTGGAGCGAGCGCCGGTGTTGTACTGCACTTGTGCGTCCCCTTCCGCGGCCCTGGCACCCGCCGTGGCTGCGGCGATGTCGGCCGTGGCGCGGCGCGCGTGCGCCCGCTACGCGCAGTGCGTGAGCCGCCACCCGGAGCTCACGGCGCAGCTGGAGAGCGGCTTCCGCAGCCTGTCGTACGTGATGGCGGGTGCGTGGTGCAAGGGTGGGGGGCGGCGGGAGCGACACAGACACACACACAGACAGATACACACAGACACACACAGACACACACACAGACGTACAGACACACACAGACGTACAGACACACACACAGACACACACACACAGACACACATAAACATGCACACCGACAGAGACACACAGAGACATGCACACCGACAGAGACACACAGAGACAAGAGACAGACAGAGACACACAGAGACAGAGACACACAGAGACAGACAGAGAGACGCACACGGAGACAGAGACACACAGAGATAGAGACACACAGAGACAGAGACACACAGAGACAGAGACACACAGAGACAGAGACACACAGAGACAGAGACACACAGAGACAGAGACACCAGAGACACACAGAGACAGACAGAGACAGACAGAGAGACACACAGAGACAGAGACACACAGCGACAGAGACACACAGAGACAGAGACACACAGAGACAGACAGAGACAGAGACAGACAGAGACAGACAGACAGACAGAGAGACACATAGAGACAGAGACACACAGAGACATAGACACACAGAGACAGAGACACACAGAGACAGACACACAGAGATACACAGAGACAGAGACACACAGAGACAGAGACACACAGAGACAGACACACAGAGACAGAGACACACAGAGACAGAGACACACAGAGACAGAGACACACAGAGACAGAGACACACAGAGACGGAGACACACAGAGACGGAGACACACAGAGACGGAGACACACAGAGACAGACACACAGAGACAGAGATACACAGAGACAGAGACACACAGAAACACACAGAGACAGAGACCTGCACACCGACAGAGACACACAGAGACAACGCAGAGACGGCCGCCCTTCGCCACCAAGTGGCAATGACATCACCAAGGCTCTTGTGCCAGGCTAGGTGCACTTTGAGGCCACGTGAAAGTGCCGAATGCTCGCTGCTGACAGGATGAGGTCACTCGACAGACCAGGTGCCACGGGTTGACCGCTGAGATGCCTGGCAGAGGCACCCGCCGTAATTTCCCCACTTGTGCCACTTCGCATGTTTAACCTGTGTGTGTGTGTGTGTACACACACACACACAGGTTATATGTAGTAGGTAGCTACTACATATGTAGTAGTAGCTACATGTGTAGTAGCTACGGGCCCATCGCACTTTAAAGGGCCCCGCGCTAAATGCTCTATTACTATAGTACTATACTGTCTTCAACTTTTATGAACGACTGAGTGTTTAAGGTTAGCGATTTCTCGTATTATCTGGCTTATAGCAAATGACAAATTACTTTACTATGCAAGTGAAAATTTTGTGTTTTAATATTTATGTGTTTATTATATCATTTAGGGCCCCTTTATAACATATGCGACAGGCCCCGCACTAGCTTAGTCCGGCACTGGGCTGGGACGAGGTGGTCTGGTGAGAGGTAAAGAGTTGGGAATCGTGGATGAGTCGCCGGGGGTCATGGGAGAGGAGGTGCAGGAGATTAGGTTTGGTTTGATGATGATGGTGGCTGTGGTTGAGGTGAGCAGACGAGGTCAGGCGTGAGACGATTGGAAGATGGATGAATGGGTGAATCAGAATCTGTTTTCAGACTGGAGCAATCCGATGAGCTATGAAGCTCTTTTTCACAGACGTCCAGTCATGGGGCCAGAGGTGACTGGGTGAGAGATTTTAGATGAGACAGTGAGGGGGTGAGGGGCGGGGCTGTGGTGGTGAGTGAGGCTGTGGTGGTGAGGTTGGGTGAGTGAGGAGCGAGGCTGTGGTGGTGAGGTTGGGGTGAGGGGCGGGGCTGTGGTGGTGAGGGTGAGGTGAGTGAGGAGCGAGGCTGTGGTGGTGAGAGTGAGGTTGGGGTGAGTGAGGGGCGAGGCTGTGGTGGTGAGGTTGGGGTGAGGGGCGGGGCTGTGGTGGTGAGGGTGAGGTTGGGGTGAGTGAGGAGCGAGGCTGTGGTGGTGAGGTTGGGGTGAGGGGCGGGGCTGTGGTGGTGAGTGAGGCTGTGGTGGTGAGGTTGGGTGAGTGAGGAGCGAGGCTGTGGTGGTGAGGTTGGGGTGAGGGGCGGGGCTGTGGTGGTGAGGGTGAGGTGAGTGAGGAGCGAGGCTGTGGTGGTGAGAGTGAGGTTGGGGTGAGTGAGGGGCGAGGCTGTGGTGGTGAGGTTGGGGTGAGGGGCGGGGCTGTGGTGGTGAGGGTGAGGTTGGGGTGAGTGAGGAGCGAGGCTGTGGTGGTGAGGTTGGGGTGAGGGGCGGGGCTGTGGTGGTGAGTGAGGCTGTGGTGGTGAGGTTGGGTGAGTGAGGAGCGAGGCTGTGGTGGTGAGGTTGGGGTGAGGGGCGGGGCTGTGGTGGTGAGGGTGAGGTGAGTGAGGAGCGAGGCTGTGGTGGTGAGAGTGAGGTTGGGGTGAGTGAGGGGCGAGGCTGTGGTGGTGAGGTTGGGGTGAGGGGCGGGGCTGTGGTGGTGAGGGTGAGGTTGGGGTGAGTGAGGAGCGAGGCTGTGGTGGTGAGGTTGGGGTGAGGGGCGGGGCTGTGGTGGTGAGGGTGAGGTTGGGGTGAGTGAGGGGCGGGGCTGTGGTGGTGAGGGTGAGGTTGGGGTGAGTGAGGAGCGAGGCTGTGGTGGTGAGAGTGAGGTTGGGGTGAGTGAGGGGCGAGGCTGTGGTGGTGAGGTGAGTGAGGAGCGAGGCTGTGGTGGTGAGGGTGAGGTGAGTGAGGGGCGGGGCTGTGGTGGTGAAGGTGAGGTTGGGGTGAGTGAGGAGCGAGGCTGTGGTGGTGAGGGTGAGTGAGGAGCGAGGCTGTGGTGGTGAGCGTGATGATGGCGTTGCTCTGTGTTGCAGGTCGCTTCCCGGACTCGGCGGAGCTCTCCGAGCTGGGTGAGCGTCGCCACGCTACAGAGTCACAATCAGAATCTGTATTTATCCTGGAGGAGGAATCCGATGAGCTCTAAAGCTCTTTTTCACAGATGTCCAGTAGGGGCACAGGGTCAGAACGCTACAACAAGAAACAACACAAAACACGATAGGACTGAAAAGTATAGGAAAGATAAACAAATCACGGAAAAAATGAAACTAAACTTTTTCTTTTACCAGGTAAGGCGCAGAGAGCCGTTAGCTTCAGAAGCGACCTGGGCCACAAATGACAGCTCAACGACGTGGCTTATTGTGTGGAAATTTACAGCAGCCAAATACTCTAAATAATCATCACAGCCGCCCCCATTGGTCACACTGGCTGAAGAGGATGGTCACCTCTCGGATTGAGCGCGCGAGTTCATCCGTTCCGCGACGAGATGACTCGCGTCAAACTGAATCCCGAATGAGGAAGTTGACTCATGCGGGCCCGTTTCTCCGCTGCCCTGCGGGTGGCGTGGCAAAGACGACGAGCCAACCCCGTGCCCGTTGCCGGACACGTGTGTGAACGAGAGCTTCATAGCTCATCGGATTCCTCCTCCAGTCTAAATCAAGATTGCGAGTTTGCCAACCCCCCCTCCCCCCCCCCCGTGTGTGACCCTCAGAGAGAAGTAGCCGGGCGAGGGGTTCACTTCCATTCTGGCATTGGAGTCGTTCCCAATGCCAGGGATCCCCACGCGTGGCAGCGGTGGCGGCGTCACAACTCTTCAGATGTTGCGATAAATTGGCAATCATTTACATCGTTATTTTATAGATTATTTGGCTGCTATGAATGTCGATGCCATAAGCCGCTTCGTTGAGCTATCGTTCATAGCCAAGTCACTACTGTATATAGCTCAGTGGGCCTTACCTGGTAAAATAAGTTAGTTTTATTTGTATTTTTTTCGCGTCATTCATTTACCTTTCCTATACTTTTCTTTCCTATCGTATTTTTGCATTGTTTGTTGTTGTAACGTTCTTCGTCCTCATCGGAAACCTCCAGGATAAATAAAGATCATTCTGATCATCCTCTCCCTCCCCCGCCCGCGTACTGCCAATGAATGACTGCCAACTGTGGCAGTGGCACGTAGCAGCCTCGTGGGTGAGAGCTGCCGTGCGCTATGAATCAAGAATCACCACTTGACTGGAGGAATCCGATGAGCTACAGATGTCTGGTAGTGAAAGCATCGCGCTGCGCTTTCAGTTGCGCTTCTGCGGCCGTCTGGAACGTACTTCCGTCCAATATCAGGAATCCACCGGAGCTGTGTACTTTTAAATCATCATCTAGATTGAAAACTAATTTCTTGAGAACTTATTTTTGTGTTTAGTTTGTCCTTCCCCCTGCCACCTCCGATTAGCACGGTTGGCTACGTACGGTGCGAAAGAAGTTCAACAAACATGCAGGCATACGGGAATGGCGCTGCTGGCGAGTGGATTGATCCTCTCGAAGCGTGGACGACGGCCCGGGCAGTTCCCTCCACCTCGGGCGATAGAACACCGAGGAGGCCCTAATAGCTGCGTGGCCTCAGCGGGTTGGGCCCAATCGCCGCACCGTGCGCGGTCGGGTGGGGCGGCCAGAGTGTGTATGCGGATCACTACTCGCCGCACAATATGCACAACTCGCTGACGTGACCCAAGTCTCACGTCCCAGCCAGCGGTGGCATGAGCCGCTGGAGTTGCAGTACTGCGGCATCACCTTTGTGGTGGCGAGATGGTAACGACCTCACCTGGTATACAGGATGTCATGGGTTCGATACCGATCCTGGCGCCTGCATTGTTAATGGAGTTTGCATTTTCTCCTCGTGATCATGTGGATTTTTCGCCACATCCGGTTTTTCCCCTCATTTGCAATCAGCATCCACGTGATGATAAGCCACTTCGACGAGTTATCATTTGTGGCCAGGTTGCTTCTTAAAAAGAGCTACACATCTCAGTGGGCCTTACCTGGGGAAATAGAACATGGTGTAGTTGTAGTTTGCGACGCTTCGTGGTGACGTTTGGGTGATGTGACGCGCGACGCCTGCAGTTTACTCGACGGCAAACCTCCTCATCCTTGTCAACGACAGCATCTTGCGCAAAGCCATCAGACGGCCACTACCTCTGGTAAGCACACAACTTGTGCACACACAATAGGGTTAACACCCACACACACTATAGTGTTAACACACTCAATAGGGTTAACACAAAATAGACGTAATACACTAGAGATAAAACACACCCACACACTATAGGGTTAACATACATACAATAGGCGTAATACACAATAGGGTTAACACACACACCCACACAATAGGGTATACACAATAGGGTTAACACACACCAATAGGGTCAACTAACTAACTAAACTTTTTATATTACCAGGTAAGGCCCACTAAGCTCTATAGGGTGATTGAGGAGCAGGAAGCGATCTGGCCACAAATGATAGTTCAGTACACACACACACAATAGGATTATACGCACACACAGTGATAGGGTTTACACCCACAATAGGGTTATCACACACAATAGGGTTAACATACACCAGATAGGGTTACTACACAAAGGCATAACATGGTTACCACACACACACAACATGGTTATCACACACACCGATAGCGTTAGCACACAATCTCCCGTGTAGCCTTGAACAGGCTGTCGGAGCAAAGTGCTGTCTGTGAGACGCGATTGAAGCTGTCGCAACACACGAGCGGGAGCAATGTGGCCAGCACCACACCCGGCCACCTTCGGCTCCCCAGTGCTGGTGTTCACACACCACACTCAGCTACTCGCTCAAGGCTAAGTTGACCTAAATGAGTCTCCTTACCGATTCAGATATTCATCAGTGATGTCGGTCGACAGCGGGAATCGAACTCGGGGTGCCGGATTGGTAGTGCGTTGCGCTAACCACTGTGCCACACTCAAAGATGGGTTAACCGTCGCTGCTGACAGGTGGAGTATCTACCAGATCCCACCGCGGTTTGTCGATTGGCAGGTTGATTGTGGTGGAGTAAAGTGTGGGTAAATCCCATCGTTCACCGAAACGTCTGGCCACAGTAGAAGAGTTAGGCCACGAATACCCCGTGTAGCGGAGGTCCTTCCACGAGTGGTGGTGCGAGCAGGCGCCTGCAGGCCTGCGCCTGCACCATCAACTCCTGCACCATCAACTGCTGCCCCCCTGCCTAAGTTAGAGGAGCGCTGCAGTCTGGGGGTGTGGACCATCGCCCCGAGTGTCGTGACGCCTCCTGCGGGTCAAACCACCACGCCGTCATTCACCTTGACCCACACGCCACTCGTGTGGATAATGCAGCCACAACAACCTTGCACGTGAACCGCCCACCACCTCTCAAGCGCCTGGGCCAGTCCCCCTGGCTGGCGCCTCTCCCCTGCCGCCGCCCTCCTCCTCACCCGGCAGGGTCGCTCCCACCGCCAGAGGGCGCCATGCGTGCTCGCTAGCCACCGTTTTCACGCCAATTGCGTTGCTGCACACTACACGCTCCTGGTTATCGATGTAGAGAGAGCTGATGAAAATTGGTCGAGAACGTGCGTGTGTGTGTACATACATACATACACACGTACATACACACGTACATACACGTACGAGTTGATTCCCGCTCATGGCCAACACCAGTGTGATTATCGATACTGGTCTTGGGCCTCCCCTAGGTCGACTCAGCCTTAATGAGTACCTGGTGCAGTGTGTAAACATCAACACTGGGGAGACAAAGGTGGTCGGGCATGGTGCTTGCCACCCACCCCCTCGTGTGTCGTGGCGGCCTTCATAGGTGCTGCTCGCTAACGTCACTTGCCCCAACGGTTCGTTCAAGGCTACACGGGGAGGGGGGGATCTTTGTCTTTGTGCTCCACGTGTGCCACGCACAGTCGCTGTCCCACGGGCGCCTGATCACTTGGCTCACGGTGCTGGAGTACGTGGAGGTGTTCTCGGAGATGGGCGCCGCGCGCCTCTGGGGCCCGGCCGGACGTTGGCTCATCATCGTGCTGGTGCAGCTCGCCAAGTGAGTGCGACCACGTGACCGCAATGATGATAACGATGATGACGATGATGACGACGACGATGATGACGACGACGATGATGAAAGACGGCGACGATGATGACGACGACGATGATGACGACGACGATGATGACGACGACGATGATGACGACGACGATGATGACAATGACGACGATGACGACCGATGATGCTGATGGCATTGGCTCGTGGTGCGCAGGGCGGTGCTGCGCGCCCTGCTGCTCTTCTGGCACAAGGCCGGGATCCAGCCGTCCCCTCCCATCGTCCCACTCGACAGAGATGCGCAGCCCTCCCCGCCGGCACACGGGGCAGGTGGGAGATGCGCGCACGGTCCATCGCACGGTCCGTCGCACGGTCCGTCGCACGGTCCGTCGCTCGGTCCGTCGCATGGTCCGTCGCACGGTCCGTCGCACGGTCCGTCGCACGGTCGGGACCATTCGCAGCCAGCATCGCCACCTACTGGCAGCAGACTAATGCCGCAGGTCGCTCAAGTGAATGATTCTGGTCTCTCGAGTTCTCACCCAGGATAAATTGAATAAACCTGAGACCCGCGTGGGCGATTGTGCATTCGCGCACGGGGAGCGGCAGCGCCGTGGCGCCGTGCGCCTGTAACCCGGCACCCTGTGGGGGGCCAGGGTTGGTGGATCACACATTCGTGACACTCGCCTGCCCTGGCTGCAAGGTCATCGTCTCCTGGTTTGCCGGCATACGATGGCAGTGCAGCGCACGTAGAAAAACGTTGGACAGCGTGCCGCACGAGTTCATGCGTGTCCCACGTGTGACCTCTCATCACCCCCCCGTGACCCCCCTCGTGATCCCCCTCGTGACCCCGCAGACTGCGAGAGGAGGGAGGGAGAGGGCGGGAGCCTGGAGCCAGAGTCTCTCCCCGCGGCCCCCTCCACCTTTCAGGGCCGCAGATCTCAGCGCGTCATCCGCTCGCTCCACCACAGTGAGAGTCCACCACCACCGTCGCCACCTAAACCACCGTCGCCACCTAAACCACCACCACAGTCACCAGCGTCACCTCCACCGCCACCGACACCACCATCACGCACCAAACACATGTCGCCATCACCACCACCACCACCTCGCAGAGCCACACGCGGCGTGGCCCCGCCACCACCGCTGCGTCCCACGCGGCCACCAGAGAAGCACCTCACCGCTGCCGCGTTTACGCTGCGGCACGGCTGCGCCGCGTCGCTCCGCACCACCTCAGCCCGGCTCGCTTCTCTCTCTCCCCCCCTTTATTATACCCCCTCCCCGCGGCCCCCCAGCCCCCCCTCTGGCACTGCGTGAGTGGGGCGCCCCCCAGCGCGAGGCGGCGGGGGGCTCCGCTTCCCGCGCCCGTTCCGCCGACCAGCCCCCGACGGTGTTGGGGCGCCAGCGTGTCACGGCCGAGGCTCTGCACGTGGCTCGTCCCCTGCTGCACCGTATCCACCGCCCCCCCCACAACCCCCGGCTGCTGCAGGTCGAAAAAGGGACGAGAGACCCATAGACTCACACAGAGACCCATAGACTCACACAGGGACCCATAGACTCACACAGAGACCCATAGACTCACACAGGGACCCATAGACTCACACAGAGACCCATAGACTCACACAGGGACCCATATACTCACACAGGGGACCCATAGACTCACACAGAGACCCATAGACTGACACAGAGACCCATAGACTCACACAGAGACCCATAGACTCACACAGAGACCCATAGACTCACAGAGACCCATAGACTCACACAGAGACCCATAGACTCACAGAGACCCATAGACTCACACAGAGACCCATAGATTCACAGAGACCCATAGACTCACACAGAGACCCATAGACTCACAGAGACCCATAGACTCACACAGAGACCCATAGATTCACAGAGACCCATAGTTTGTTGTCCTTTCCCCGCACCTCCGATGAACATGATTGGCTACGCGCGGTGCGAAAGGAGTTCAACGCACATATTTGTATATTTGGGTGCAGAGGGATGGTACATCGGTTAGTGGCGCTAGGCTACGAACCCGGTGACCTGTTATCTGATCTGGTCCTGGGCTTCCCCTAGGTCGACTCAGCCTCAAATAAGTACCTGGTATGGTGTGTAAACATCGCCAATGGGGGAGACAAAGGCGACCAGGCGTGGTGCTGGCCACCCACCCCCTCGTGTGCCGTTCCGGCCTTTATAGGTGCCACTCGCTAACGGCACCTGCCCCAACAGTCTGTTAAAGCTAAACGGGTGATCTTTGTCTCTTTGTGTGTCTGTGTGTGTGTGTGTGTCTCTGTGTGTGTGTGTCTCAGTGTGTGTGTGTGTCTCTGTGTGTGTGTGTGTCTCTGTGTGTGTGTGTGTCTCTGTGTCTTTGTGTGTCTCTGTACGTGTCTCTGTGTGTGTCTGTACGTGTCTCTTGTAGGCTACATGGAGGGGAGGGGGATCTTTGTCTCTGTCTATTTGCTTTCCGTCGGTTCAACGACCAACGGCGTTACCTTCTTCTCCCTGTCATTGATGTGGGACTTATGTAAAATATAAATCTTCCGTGGCTGTCTCCGCTGAGTTCTCGCGTCGAACCCGCGTGTCGTTCGGCTCGATGTCCGACCTTTCGCTGCACGTGGAGCAAAACGTCGGACGTCGTGCCAGACGACATGCGGCACGACCCAAAAAAAGTGCGCTTCAGGAGCGGTGGTCGGTTCCTTAACTCCCGTGGCACCGCCGGTGCAGTGGCGAGCCTGGCGGCGTGCGGAGAGAAGTCGTGGAAGCCGTGGCTCCTCTCTGCCGCGATGGACATCACCAGGTAGGGCTCACGGCGCGGCTCCGCTGTGGAGCTTTGGCCGCGGGGTTAGGGGCTCACTCGTTTCTTTAACCCTTTCTCGTTTCCGATGACGCACACGTACGTATGCATTTGTCATCAGTAATTGATTTCCAAATGGAATCGAAAGTAAAAGGCCACGCGGGAGGGCGTGTGGCACTGTTTGCCGCCATCTGTCATCGAGTGTGCAGTGGTGTCGCTACAGGTCTCTGCGGTGAGTACAACATCTTTAAAAACAGCCCCATCCTGCAACCTACAGACATCTCGGAACAGGAAAGGTTAATCGTATAATGGTGTAATTTCCCCAGGTTTTATCTTGATTGTGTTGGCAGCAACTCTGCCGATGAGACGTTGAATGTCGACAACGTCTGCTTGTGTTGAACCAATGCTGCTGATGAGATGCACTCCCAGAAGGTCGCATGGCTGATGGGATGTGTAAAAAACATAAACTTCGATCCAGATTGCGCGATTGGCATCACCAGAAGAAGAATCCAAGCGGATCTCGCGCAGAGCAGCGCGGCGCTACGAGTTAGAGAACGGCCCGTGGAAGCGGATATCACAGAGCTACCTCTGAGATCCCATCAAGCAGCCTCTGATCCACATACAGTGGGGAGCAGCACTTTCCCACCCACTCTACATATGAGAGGGAGGTTTGTCACGTGATAGACTATTATCTAATTCTAAAATTAACCCTTTCCCATTCTGAGATGTATGCAAGTTCCAGGGTGGGTATCGTTCGCTTCTGAATCTTGGAACGGGCGAGTGTTACTCACCGCAGAGAACCATGGCGACACGACCGCACTCTATGATAGCTGGCGCCAGACTATACCACACGCCTCCCGCATGGTCTTGTTGGAGCATCGGTACCGATAAAGTTATTTTATTTAGTTTTTCATCCGGTTCCATCCGGTTCCGATGACGTACACACGTACATTGATCAGAACGGGAGACGGGTTAAGTGCGGAACTAAATCTAATGTGTTTTCTGTGCAGTCATTGGTGACCGGGCTGAGACCATCAACTGGCTACGCTTGAGAACTCTGTTTAGTCGCTGGCGCCTGAAGCCTCAGCCCATGCAGATTCAGCAGAGGCCACCAGAGGGCAGCGCAGCGCAAGGGCCGGTCTATGGGGCTGTGTGGGGGGCGGGGGGGGGGGCGCTGTCTCTTCCCATGTGTGGGGCCCTCCCGGTACTTCACTCTCCTCCCACGTGAGAAAACAAAAGGAAGTGGGCCAGGCATCCCAACGCTTTCCCCTCTTGACAACAGGATTTTGAGCCTCGGCGTTGTCATCCTTGACGAGGGCTGCGCCTGCAAGCTCGGCGAGGCCATCGGCCGGAACCGGATTGAGGACGACGACGAACGTAGCTCTGACCGAGCGCCGAATTCCCGTCGAGACGGTCGTGAGATTGATTGGCGAGCGGAGCGGGCTGCTGTGTCGCGTACACAGCCAAAGCGGGCCACTGTGTCGCGCACACGGGCTGAAAGGAATCTAATCGATAATCGTTAGAGTAATCATTCGGTCGAGGAATCACATAATCCCAGCTCCACTCACAATCGCTGTGGCCTCCTTCCTACTCCTCCACTTCCTCCACAGCCTGAGCCTGATGGGCGACCCCAAGGAGTTGAACACGAGTGAGCGCGGAGAGCTGCGACGTCGCACCCTCGCGCTGCTCTACTACCTCCTGCGGTCGCCCTTCTACGACCGCTACTCGCAGTAAGGCGCGCGCACAACGGCGTGACCAACGCGCAGCCCTTCCAGGGTCCGCTTGGGGGCGACCGCCTCCACATGCTGTGTCGGTCCTGAAGGGGTAGGGAGGGAGGGGGGGAGGGCGGCGGGGGGGAGGGCGAGGGGGACGGGGGGGGATGGCGGCGGGGGGAGGGGGACGGGGATGGGGGGGGATGGGGGGGAGGGGGACGGGGGGGAGGGGGACCCAATACAAGTTCAGATATCACTCACCACTGATATTAGCCCTGGCTGCAGGTTTGCCTCGTGTTGCGGATGCAGCCCACAGCTGCCGCACCGTGCCGCTTCCGGCTTGATCCGCTACTGCGGAGCGGCTGTCCCGCTGCCCGCCGTGGGCTCGCATCCCAGGTTACAGCACCCCGGCCCAGGTAGTCTTTGACTGGCTAGGACACCGTATGATGGAACACAATGCCTGGCTATGGGGAGATGACAAATCGGAACGGTTCGATGTGCCACCGTTTCAGTTTAGTCCACGCCGAGAGTTTTCACCACCTGTATTTTGTCTCCCCAGGGCGAGGATCATGCTGCTGCTCAGGATCCTGGCCGATTACATCCCGGGCTTTGGCTGGGTCGCTCGTAAGTGCGCGCCGCTCCCTCTGCCAGTACCGTGTGTGCAGCTTGTTCTGTTTCGTATGTGTGTGTGTATGTGTGTGTATGTTTGTGTATGTATGTTTGTGTGTGTATGTGTGTGTAAGTGGGGAGTGGTAGTGTAGTGGTTAGCGCGCTGCGCTACAAACCTGGCGACCCGGGTTCGATTCCCGCTCACGGCCAACGCCAGTGACGATTATCTGAACCGATCATGGGCCTCCCCTAGGTCCACTAAGTCTCAAATGAGTACCTGGTGTGGTGTGTAAGCATCGCCGCTAGGGAGACAAAGGCGGCCAGGCGTGGTGCTCGCCACCCACCCCCTCGTGTGCCATCCCGGCCTTCATAGGTGCTCGCTAACAGTACTTGCCCCAAAAGTCTGTTAAGGCTGTACAGGGGATTATTGTCTTTGTTTTGTATGTATGTTGAACTTCTTTTACACCGTACGTAGCCAACCTCGCTAATCGGAGGTGGGTGGGAAGGACGACAAACTAAATACAAAAAGCAAACGAGACGCAGACTTAGACGCGTGTCAGGAGCACATAAACATTTGTGCGAAAGCAAGAAACCATCGGCTTTTCCTGAAGGAGTGCATTGTGGGTCCTCGTGGAGTGCACACGTACATACACTCGACGTACACACGTACGTGCACGAGCACCGTGGGGTCTGCGCTTGTCACGCGGCAGTGAGTCTCATTTGAAGCTTGTGGTTGCCGGCCACACTGTTGCGCACCACTACGACGGGCGTTCCTCAGCGATGACAATTGTAGATATTGAGCGTTATACCTCTACGGTGGCGTTTGTCCTGTGCCCGTGCCGTCCGATCTGCAGGACCATTGATCGAATACCTCCCAGCCTGGCAAAAAGTCTACTTCTACATGTGGAGCTAAGGAGCGAGGCGACGGACGGAGCGCTTGCGTGGCACCGGCAACGTGTCCCGGGAACGGATCGCGCGAGGGCGCTGTCGGTCCAAACATCCTAATGGTTTGAAACAGCCGATGACGAATGGTAGCCGGACTCTAATCAAAATATCCTAATGGTTTCAAACAGCTGCCCAACGATTTGCACAAATTGCATTTGTCTGGAATCACAAGTGATTTGAAACACGAGCGAGAGATGCCTTGTAGGCGTTGGTAGAAAAAAAGTAATCTGACAGACGGAGGTTTTTCTGACCAGTGTCGCTTTCACGCTTTCTGAGCTGCGCGGCAAATACGCGGTGCGGAGGGCGGTGGTACGGTGTGACACACGGCACAGTGTGACGTACGTGTAGCACGGTGTGATGTGCGGCACGGTGTGATGTGCGGCACAGTGTGACGTACGCGTAGCACGGTGTGACGTGCGGCACGGTGTGACACGCGGTACGGTGTGACACGCGGCACGGTGTGGCGTGCGGCACGTTGTGGCGTGCGGCACGGTGTGGCAGGCGGCAGGGTGTGACACGCGGCACGGTGTGACACGCAGAGCACGGTGTGACACGCAGAGCACGGTGTGACACGTGGCACGGTGTGACGTGCGGCACGGTGCGACGTGCGGCACGGTCAGATTTTGGCAACTTTGGAAAAATTACCGGAGCAAATTACTGTGCTCGGTCGAGCAGAGCAATAGCAACATCTACCACCGTACCGGCAGATATCCCAATTGCAGGCCAGTGCTGCCATCAGCTTTTGCTGCAAAGGGAGGGCTGCCACCGGGGAGGGGTGGGGGGCCCAGCTGGGCATTGAAACTTTGAGATGAGACGAGATGCAAGATGCCTGCGGCAGCTGTGCCCAGACGCAGCAAGTGTGATTGCGCCTGTCCCCTTGAATGGCTCAGTGACTCCGGCTTTGTGACTGCTGCAGTGCCTGGGCGTGGCTCCGGGCGACGGTGCGCAGTGTTGTGACTCGTGGTGTTGTGACCCATGGTGTTGTGACCCGTGGTGTTGTGACCCGTGGTGTTGTGACTCGTGGTGTTGTGACCCATGGTGTTGTGACTCGTGGTGTTGTGACCCATGGTGTTGTGACTCGTGGTGTTGTGACCCGTGGTGTTGTGACTCGTGGTGTTGTGACCCATGGTGTTGTGATTCGTGGTGTTGTGACTCGTGGTGTTGTGACTCGTGGTGTTGTGACCCGTGGTGTTGTGACTCGTGGTGTTGTGACCCGTGGTGTTGTGACCCGTGGTGTTGTGACTCGTGGTGTTGTGACCCGTGGTGTCGTGACCCATGGTGTCGTGACCCGTGGTGTCGTGACTCGTGGTGTTGTGACCCATGGTGTTGTGACCCACGGTGTTGTGACTCGTGGTGTCGTGACCCGTGGTGTTGTGACCCACGGTGTTGTGACTCGTGGTGTTGTGACCCATGGTGTTGTGACCCACGGTGTTGTGACTCGTGGTGTTGTGACCCGTGGTGTTGTGACCCACGGTGTTGTGACTCGTGGTGTTGTGACCCATGGTGTTGTGACCCACGGTGTTGTGACTCGTGGTGTTGTGACCCGTGGTGTTGTGACCCACGGTGTTGTGACTCGTGGTGTTGTGACCCATGGTGTTGTGACCCACGGTGTTGTGACTCGTGGTGTTGTGACCCGTGGTGTTGTGACCCACGGTGTCGTGACTCGTGGTGTTGTGACCCGTGGTGTTGTGACCCATGGTGTCGTGACCCGTGGTGTTGTGACCCACGGTGTTGTGACTCGTGGTGTTGTGACCCGTGGTGTTGTGACCCACGGTGTTGTGACTCGTGGTGTTGTGACCCATGGTGTTGTGACCCACGGTGTTGTGACTCGTGGTGTTGTGACCCGTGGTGTTGTGACCCATGGTGTTGTGACCCGTGGTGTTGTGACCCGTGGTGTTGTGACCCGTGGTGGTGTGACCCATGGTGTTGTGATTCGTGGTGTTGTGACCCGTGGTGTTGTGACCCGTGGTGTTGTGACCCGTGGTGGTGTGACCCATGGTGTTGTGATTCGTGGTGTTGTGACCCGTGGTGTTGTGACTCGTGGTGTTGCAACTTGTGATGTCGTAACCCGTGGTCTTGGGGCGGTGACCGTCGTGTGCACTGCGGCGCCCTGCCACAGCGTGCGCGTGTCCCACGTGTTCACCACAATACCGACGATGGAGGCGGCCCGTAGCGGTCGAGGCTGCGTCGGTTACAATGCGGTTGTCGCAAGCTCAAACCCTGATTGGTGGTCGATACAACCAATAATTCCTCCGGGGTCGATAAAATCGGCTACGGTGGTCGGTCGTGCTATGGATAGACTCTCCCCCGTCATAGAAATGTTGAATTTCCATAGCTGGCGAAGGGCTTTTGACGGGAGACGCGCACCGCCTCAACGCTCGGCTGAGCAGGAAGTCGCCCTCGAATTTTATTTTTGACCTCGTGTTGTTAGTCACGATGTCCGGCGTTTCGCCCCGTGTCCCGAAGCGAAATGTCGGACATCGTTCCGAACAGCGCGTAGCGGCACAGCTGTAAAAACGCCTCCGAGAGAGCGTTTGGCCACCTGCCTTAGAATCGCCTCGCGCCATCCCAGCAGCTGCACGGGGACGGTCGCCGGCCCGTGAGTAGCTCCGGACACGGCAGCGGTGGCGGCCACAAGGGAGTGGGATTGGGGAGCTGGTGGTGCGTCGGCCGTGCCGAATCGGCCTCCCCGGCGTGCCACGAACGTCGTCACCGATGCTCCACACCGAGCCGCCACGATTGCCCGCGAGCGAACGAGTGGCAAGATTGGCGCGACAGGTTTTTAATTCACAACGAACACGGAGCCTTCTCGTGGTGCCGGCGCTCTCTGACCGATCGCCGCGTGCAAGGCTGACTGCATGGGCATTGTTGCGAGCGGCGCCTGTGACTCGCTTGGGTGGTGGTCGTTGTGGTGGTGGTTGTGGTGGTGGGTGGAGATGGCAAGCGGCTGACGAGGGCCTCGCTCAATAAACTCTTTTTCTACGGTCGCATGCCTCGTCTCCGTGCTGTGCCACGCGTCACCACGCGTCGATGCGATGACAACCATTCGCGTGGACGGCAACGGGTGACGGCGCAGTGGCAGCAACAAGGGCCTGGGTTTCATTCCCCGACCCGGCAAGTGGGGGGGAAGGAAAAGGGCCGAGTTTGATGACAGTCGATGCAGCATTGTCACCATCGGCATCTCTGCCTTGGCCGCCGCGTGAGTGGCCAGGGCGGTTTGGGAGAGGTCATGGTGAGAGCTGCCGTGTGGAGTCGCACGGCTGCGCGGTGGTGATGCTCGCGCCACCTTCTGGGTTAGATTCCTGACTGGTGTCCATCTGTGTGGAGTTTGTGTTCTATCTCCCCCTGTCCTGCGTGGGTTTCCTCCCGTGTTCTCCGGTTTTCTCCTCCGATAGCGAAGTAAAAAACCACAATATCACCGGCATTGGCCAAACATCCCAATTCTGAGAAATCAGACAAGTCCACACAACCACGGGGAGAGAGACACGCAGACTTCGCATATCCAGCAGCAGGCGTCAGGGTCGGGATCGAACCCACGACCTCCTGCATACCAGGCGAGGTAGTTAACATCTCCTAGCCACCGAATGTGGAGACACTGCCACAGACGCCGGTGTCGTGGTGAGCACGCCGGATTCCAACCCAGAGGCTGTCGGCTCCAATGATCGCCCGGCGCGGCAGCTGAAACAATGGGGCGAGTTTCCTCAAAGCGCCCACCACATCTGTCCCCGCAGCAGCAGTGGAGAATCACGGGCACACGGCCAGTCGATTGACCCCGGTCGCGTGTGGTGGGGTCAAGTCTGGGCACTCCCACCTCTTCAACGACGTCCGCCCCGTGTGGAAGAGGAGGCCAAAGAATCACTTTCGATCAGTGGGGCACGGTCGCCGATAAGACATCCGAAGTGCGAGGGCCGCCACACATTTGCGACCATTGGTTGGGTTTGCCAGCAGCACGATGATGGTGGAGTGTTGCCACGTGTTGTGTGGGGGGCGCCAGGGGGCCGCGGGCCTTGCGATGAAGAAGACACCCGGCCGAGAGGAGCGTCCCTCGAGCTCCTTCCCGGAGAGTCCCACGTGTCACGTGGTGGTGGCGGTTGGTGTGTGGGGTGAGTGGTGAGGCAGGTTGGTGTGTGGGGTGAGTGGTGAGGGTTGAGGCAGGTTGGTGTGTAAACAACATTCCTACTCACCTCTCTGTAAACAACACTCCCACTCACTCCTCTGTAAACAACACTCCCACTCACCCCTCTGTAAACAACACTCACACTCACCCCTCTGTAAACAACACTCCCACTCACCCCTCTGTAAACAACACTCACACTCACCCCTCTGTAAACAACACTCACACTCACCCCTCTGTAAAGAACACTCCCACTCACCCCTCTGTAAACAACACTCCCACTCACCCCTCTGTAAACAACACTCCCACTCACCCCTCTGTAAACAACACTCACACTCACCTCTCTGTAAACAACACTCCCACTCACCCCTCTGTAAACAACACTCCCACTCACCCCTCTGTAAACAACACTCACACTCACCTCTCTGTAAACAACACTCCCACTCACCCCTCTGTAAAGAACACTCACACTCACCCCTCTGTAAACAACACTCACACTCACCCCTCTGTAAACAACACTCACACTCACCTCTCTGTAAACAACACTCCCACTCACCCCTCTGTAAACAACACTCACCTCTCTGTAAACAACACTCCCACTCACCCCTCTGTAAACAACACTCCCACTCACCCCTCTGTAAACAACACTCCCACTCACCCCTCTGTAAACAACACTCACACTCACCCCTCTGTAAACAACACTCACACTCACCCCTCTGTAAACAACACTCACACTCACCCCTCTGTAAACAACACTCACCTCTCTGTAAACAACACTCCCACTCACCCCTCTGTAAACAACACTCCCACTCACCCCTCTGTAAACAACACTCCCACTCACCCCTCTGTAAACAACACTCCCACTCACCCCTCTGTAAACAACACTCACACTCACCCCTCTGTAAACAACACTCCCACTCACCCCTCTGTAAACAACACTCCCACTCACCCCTCTGTAAACAATCCCACTCACCTCTCTGTAAAGAACACTCCCACTCACCCCTCTGTAAACAACACTCCCACTCACCCCTCTGTAAACACACTCACACTCACCCCTCTGTAAACAACACTCCCACTCACTCCTCTGTAAACAACACTCACACTCACCCCTCTGTAAACAACACTCCCACTCACCCCTCTGTAAACAACACTCACACTCACCCCTCTGTAAAGAACACTCCCACTCACCCCTCTGTAAACAACACTCCCACTCACCCCTCTGTAAACAACACTCCCACTCACCTCTCTGTAAACAACACTCCCACTCACCTCTCTGTAAACAACACTCCCACTCACCCCTCTGTAAACAACACTCACACTCACCCCACTGTAAACAACACTCCACTCACCCCTCTGTAAACAACACTCCCACTCACCCCTCTGTAAACAACACTCACACTCACCCCTCTGTAAACAACACTCCCACTCACCCCTCTGTAAACAACACTCACACTCACCCCTCTGTAAACAACACTCCCACTCACCCCTCTGTAAACAACACTCACACTCACCCCTCTGTAAACAACACTCCCACTCACCCCTCTGTAAACAACACTCCCACTCACCCCTCTGTAAACAACACTCACACTCACCCCTCTGTAAACAACACTCCCACTCACCCCTCTGTAAACAACACTCCCACTCACCCCTCTGTAAACAACACTCCCACTCACCCCTCTGTAAACAACACTCCCACTCACCTTTCTGTAAACAACACTCCCACTCACCCCTCTGTAAACAACACTCACCCCTCTGTAAACAACACTCACCCCTCTGTAAACAACACTCCCACTCACCCCTCTGTAAACAACACTCACACTCACCCCTCTGTAAACAACACTCACACTCACCCCTCTGTAAAGAACACTCCCACTCACCCCTCTGTAAACAACACTCCCACTCACCCCTCTGTAAACAACACTCCCACTCACCCCTCTGTAAACAACACTCACACTCACCTCTCTGTAAACAACACTCCCACTCACCCCTCTGTAAACCAACACTCCCACTCACCCCTCTGTAACAACACTCACAACTCACTCTCTGTAAACAACA